GACTGATTTGAATTTGAAGGTATATGTTTGCTTTGATTGTGATCCTCCTCTAGAGAGTAAGAAACTTCGTCTTTCTCCATTTCCACATCAGCGTCGGTGCGTTTGATAGACATGGATCCGGAGGTTTGGCCCTGCCTCTCTGATAAACTCACGAAGGCAGATGGATCACAAACATCTGGAGAATCGATCTCATCTACCTCCATCTCCTCCTTCTCTTTGTAATCTTCTTCATAGTCTTCTTTCTCATCACTCTAGGATCATAATGGAGAAAGTTTTTGCTCAAGCAGAGTTTTGGTGAATGCTCTGGAGCACATTCAGGAGGTTCACAACCTTACCTCAGCACATTCCTTACTTTCTTTCTCCTCCTGTATTGTATGCAGGAGAGGTCTGAAGCCTCTGAATTTCTCCAGGGGCTGTGTTTTGGAGGAAGGAAACCTGTCAGTCTGGTAGTGGCCAAGGTGTCCGGTGTTCATGTTAGCACTGGGGTTTCCCATGCTCCAGCTGGCGAAAGCCTGGAAAGCTGACAAGACATTTCATATATTTATCTATTCATCCATTAGTACAAATAGATCACATAAACCCCAACACACTAAACCCCAAATGAGACTGTCTATAAAATAGTAGAAGTATGAAGACCTTGCCACCTGATGCAAGGCTGAAAACCTGAAAACACAATTTACATGTACGTAATTTTACATATAATTAATTTTACCATGTTTATGGTATCTTTAAGATTAAAAAGATATTTTGCCAAATTAAATAATATACACTCCCAATACAGGTCTCCTCCTTTAGTAAACAATTTGAACAATACTGTTAAAATACAAATAGATAGATAGATAGATAGATAGATAGATAGATAGATAGATAGATAGATAGATAGATAGATAGATAGATAGAATGTGTAATGACTGCAGTGTACTTCAGTAATGGGGTACGTATAGTAAATGTTCAGTGTAGTACATAAAGTTCCAGAGAAAGAAGATGTTTTGGACAACAGATGACTCAGAGGCTGTAGGAAGTGTAACCAGTAGATCATTTAAACGACTAATGATGTAATCATGTCGAGAAAATAAGACATTCATTCTATGGGGTTCCACATTTCTACGGTGTTTCCACATTTCATTGTTTCTAATCAACAACTAGCAACACTAACAGAGAAGCCATTAATGATCTGTCCATTGCCTTTGGACCATCCAAAGGTCCTTGACAAAACAATCAGCAAGTGTCCTCTCGGTTTCTGCAGTGTACAAACAACCGATTGCTTAGAAGAGAGACAGTAAACAGTACCTATGATGTCACACACGGAGTGATGGAGGGCAAAAATTGATCCTTTAGGGCCTGTGATTTTAGTGGTGGTGTTAATAAATTTAGAAGTGGAAGATCTTGAATAGTTGCATGTAGAAGCACTGTGACTCTTAGGCTGAACAGTTTGCTTACTCTTTATATTTATACAGGATGTTTCTAACAAATGTTCTTCACGAGCTGTACAGACAGACAGACAGATAGATAGATAGATAGATAGATAGATAGACAGAAAGACACGTTTGCAAACTTGGTAACCCTGTTTAGTGTAAAAATTCTTCTGTACATTGACACAAAAAAATTTGTAATTTGGCCAAGAATAAAATAAGACCCTGAAAAAAAGTGAAAAAGTGTGTGTATGCGTGTGAGTGTGTGTGTGTGTGTGTGTGTGTGTGTGTGTGTGTTGGGGGAGGGGGAGGCTATTTGAATCTGAAATGTCCGTAACATATGTAATAACTATACAAGGAATGTACAGTTTACATTCAAATAATCATATCTAAAACAAAGCATCACATCAAATAAACATCCCATTCACAAGGGTCACAAGTTCCCAACACAAAGACATTAGATTCAAATGACATGTTTTTTTTTTTTTTTTTAATATTTCACTCAATAGATTCTTTATGACAATTCTTTAACTTTGTTAATACAGTATTTGTTTTAGAAATTTACAATTTCCCCATTAAATGTCATCAGGAAGAATCAATGACTGTATACTGTATATGAGAGTCATTGGTGAGAATGACCAAAAACCTTGCAGCACTGTTATAGTACACAAAAATATTTCTAATGCATTGTTATTACAGTCACTTTTACTTTTATAATTGTTCATATTGAATCCATTCGTATTTAAAATATACCGTATTACATTTCAAGTGCAAAGAAATCTCATCTGACTGTAAACTTGTTAAACCTCTTTGCACTTGAAATGTAATACGGTATATTTTAATTTTGAGGGCATTCAATATGAATAATTATAAAATAATTATATGAGATGACAATAGGATATAAATGTAAAAATAAAATTTTAAAAAATCATGACGGGGTAGTAACATGTTCTTAATAAATTAAAGTTTTTTTTTGTTTTTTTTTTAAATGACCATAATAGGGTGCTTTACTATTTTACTTCCTAGAAAAGAAAATGTTGATACTTGGCCTTCTCTTGGCTTATGAAATATACCCATGAAGATAAATAACTACTAGAAAACAGGCATTTCTGCTCATTCTGTCTGGTTTGTAATGAAAAACAATCAAAAAGCTGGACTTCAGCTGTCCATATTGTTCTGCTTAATAAATCTGAAACACCAATCCAAAACATTCCAGTATAAATATAATGAAAGAAAACATCAACACCTGATTCCTTCATTATCCCACAGAATTCCCTCTTAATCTCACCCAAACTCAAACTCAAATCTGTCTCAGTGGGTAGTAAATCCTGTGTAGTATTTTGAAAAGCACTTCTTTCACCTTATTATTATTATTCCACTGGAGGCCCAGAGACACTGTTGTTAAAGGAACCCAATTAAATATGTATCATTCAAATTTGCATACGTTTGAAGCGACACGTTTGATCTCAGCGTCATCCGGGCACGGGCTGTGTTCCAATCCGTGTACTTGCGGACTTGGCGCGCGAGCACAACTGGCAAAGGCGGAGAGAATTCTACCGCACGAGCTTCGAAGAGCACTAATTAGCACACGCGTGCGTGGATTGGAGCGCAGACGCTATGACGATTGTGGGGGCGTGGGGGCGGGGGGGGGTGAATACAGGAAGTGCGCGTGCTCACAGGCTCAGAGTTTCCTGGTGTACAAATATCACAGAATAAACACTGGATATTTGGGATATTTGTAGGTGAGGAATAAAAAAAAAAATGCCACTCCTGACTCAGAACAAACGAATCGACCGTGTAATATCAACAACTGAGTTGTTCTCGAAATATTCCCATTTAAAGGTGAGTGAGTGAGATGACTGAGGCCTGTGTGTGTTACACAGTTTGTAAGCGGAATTAGTAATATATGAGATTGTTTTTTTGCGTTTCCTGAAGGAAAATGCCAAAATATTTCGCTCCAAACCCCTTGTGACAATGGATCCAAAGTGCCTGCTCTATGTGCAACAGCGGGAATTTGCAGCCACAACGCCGGCAGACAGTGAGTCTTACTGGATCTCAGTGCTCCTTTGCTTCTGCACTGGTTATTTTACTAGAAAACTCACAAATAACAGTAAAAAAGGAAACAACTAATGATACAGTTTGTGGACACCTGATCATCACACCCTTCCCTTTTCCCTCTTCCCCCCTCTTTCACCCTTCTCCCCATCCTTTGCTGTTATAATAACCTCCACTCTTCTGGGAAGGCTTTCCACTAGATTTTAGAGCGTGGCTTTTGGGATTTGTGTTCATTCAGCCACGCAAGAGCTTTAGTCACACCAGGCATTGATGTCGGGCGAGAAGCCTGTTCCGTTTCATCCCATAAGTGTTCAGTGGGGTTGAGGTCAGGGCTCTGTTCAGACCACTCAAGTTCTTCCACTCCAACTTTGGCAAACCATGTCTTCATGGAGCTCGCTTTGTGCACAGGCGCATTGTTATGGTGGAACATGTTTTGGGCCCCTTAGTTCCAGTGAAGGAAATTGTAACATTACAATTACAATAGCGTTACAAAAAAAGACATCCTATCAATCGTGCGCTTCCAGCTTTGGAACAACAGTTTGGGGAAGAACCACATATCAGTGTGATAGTCAGGTGTCCACAAACCTTTTGCCATGGATGTACTGATCCAGATAATCATTATTATATACATTGAGCTGCCAAGTTATTGAGAAGTAGATGGGTGTATCTCATAAACAGGCAAAGAGACCAGTGATGAAGTGATGAAGTCAAAGACCAGGGGTGGGCTGAGAAATGGGAAGTGTAATGGAGAAAGAGGAAATATAAATAACGTGTAAGAATTGTACTCAATTAAACATGGAAGTATCCAGACAAAAATCTACTCAAGTCACAAAAAAAAACAAAAAAAAAAAAACGTTGCATCTCAAGTGCTCATCGTTTTGACAAGCTTGACACCACAGACCGGGGTTTTAATGGATCATGGATATCTATGGTATTTTACCTAAATATTTTCCCATAATGCATGCCTAAATCTTAACATACATACTTCAACAGCTCCATTACGCAATGTAATCTTTTTTCTAAAATAGTAGGAATACTCCACATATACTTGGTTTCAAAGCGCAACTACTTTATTATCTGCATCACTTCTAACTTTCTGGTAGAATGCCTAGTGGATGAAATGATCATAAACAACATGAAGGAGAAAGTGTTTCCAGGTGTTCAGGATGGCTGTCTCATTAATATTACTGTGTTAAGGCCAACTTTGATACGTTGTGCATTTATACAGGTTACACTCCTAAACAGTGTGACATTGCTGATAAATTTAATATGGTTTTAAGCAGAAATGATTTTGTGTGAGACTTCCATTACTTGTTAGCTACATTAGGAGTGTAGCTCCAGTTGTTGTTGTTGTTGTTCTTTCACCTGCTCCCATTAGGGGTCGCCAGAGCGGATCATTGGTCCGCATATATTTGATTTGGCACAGTTTTTATGCCGGATGCCCTTCTTGACGCAACCCTTCCCAATTTTATCCAGGCTTGGGACCGGCACTGGGAGTGCACTGTTGTTAGCATCCCCAGTGGCTGGGGTTGGTTCCCTTGCCGGAAACGAACCCAGGCCGCAGCGATGAGAGCGCCGTGGCCTAACCACTAGTCCTCCAGGGACCCAGGAGTGTAGCTCCAGTGTTTTTTTTTTGTTTGTTTGTTTTTGTTTTTTTTAAATGACACCAAATGTTGAACACCAAACATGATTTGGCTGATTGACTTTGTTTGGTCTCAATGGAAGTGGAAGTGGAGTTGTAAATTATTATAATTTTTTTGTAATACTGAAATGCTCAGACTAACAGTACTGATATTTAACTGTCTAACATTAAATCTGCGTCTTTCTGCAGGCTCTGTTTCAGTTATTGGCTCTGGGGATGCAACGACATGTCACTTAGTAGTCCTGCGCCATACAGGTAACATTGAGCACCTGTACTCTCTGTCAAATGAGTGTTTTATTTTTTTTAACCATTGTGTCTTTGTGGCAGTATCATTTTTGTTCATTCCACCTTTTAAAGGAAGCGGAGCGACTTGTTTGGCTCACCTGGACGGCTCGAGCACGTGGACTGAAGTTCCTCTCTTAGTTAATGCCGTCACGTCACTAAGCAACCCAGCTAAAGCAGGCAGGTGAGACTTTTGTAGCCTTCTTATTGTGAAACCACAACATATTGGTTTGTTACATTGTTCTCAGTGACATTGTTCATTTTATAAAGAAATATACTGTATATCTTTTTTTATTCAGGTTAGAGCTTCATCTCGTTGGGGGGTTTGATGATGACAACAAGACGTCGCATAACCTCAGCCGTGAAATTTTCGGTACGGAGATTTGCAGTAAATCAGGGTTTACCTACAGCCTTTAAAATTTTGCCAAGTTATTAAATGTGTGTGTGTGTCTGTATGGATTGTGCGTTTTTATTTTGCAGCGGCATTTCAGAAACAAAAGGAAGAAATTCACTTAGAAACTTGCTGCATTACTGGTAATTTGGTAGCATATACGCATGCTTGAATAACTTTTTTGGCATCAGTATCCTCATCACACCGACTGACTGTTGCTCTGTGTTTTATAGATATGAATGATGATGTGACAGATGGGATTCACAGACCAATTATCTATGGAATAGGTAATGTAGAATATTAACACTAGCTAAACACTGTTTATAGACACCAAAGTGGCAATTTATTAGACTGTAATGTGATGCACCAATGTGGTCAAAGGATCTGGTATCAGTGCCAGATCTTTATCTGCATTTGCATTTTAGTGAAGTGAAGTGACTTGTGGCCAAGTGTGGTGACCCATACTCGGAATTTGTGCTCTGCATTTAACCCATCCAAGTGCGCACACACACGCACGCACACACACACGCACACACACACACACACACACACACACACACACACACACACACACACACACACACACACACACACACACACACACACACACACACAGACCCAGAGCCAGAGCCAGAGGGCAGCCTTTTTAGCTGCGGTGCCCGGCGAGCAGTTGGGGGATCGGTGCCTTGCTCAAGGGTCTCACCTCAGTCGTGGTATTGAGGGTGGAAGAGAGCTCTGGTCATTCACTCCCCCCACCTACAATCCCTGCCGGACCTGAGACTCAAACCCACAACCTTCAGGTTCACCTTCGGGTTACAAGTCCAACTCTCGAACCATTAGGCCACGACTGCCCCCCCTGCACAAGTGTTAGGGTAAACCTGACATTCTGTTAATGCACTGTATAACACACAGTAGCACAACACAGCGGATTACACTTGTGATACTGATATAAATGTGTGTGTGTGTGTGTGTGCGCACGCTTGTTAGGTGTGAACGTTAAAACGGGCGAGGTTTTCCCAGCCGTGTTTCCACAAAGAGGACCTGCTGAGGACTTGAGGTCTGCACGCAGCTTCACAGGTGGACAGGTATCAGCACAATCATGTTTAATTCTGGAGACGCTTCTGTCTTTTTATGTACTTATGAACACCATATTTTTCAGACTATAATGTTTTTTCTTCTAGCCAAACAAAAAAACATACAGTGAAGGGACCTATATGCTATAATTTTCCTAATAGTCTAATGTTGTCATCTGTAATTTTAACAACACTTTTATATAAACAATGGGCCTGGGTATGAATACATTTATTACTAAATCATTCACATCTAATAGGAACTGTGGAGTTTTTTTTTTTTTTTTTTTTTAATTAACCTAAATTTACCTATGAGGAGACTCACTAATATGAACCTCGATTGTTTGACTTTAATTCATATAATTGGCAACGAGTGACTACAGGTTTACATGCGGATTATGCTGTTAAGTTTAAATAGGTTATTTATTTCAACTACATGTAAATTTAATGAAAATTTTTGTCATGAGTGAATTCTAATTAATGACTTGAAAGAATTTTTTAAAAAATCCATAAATTAAGACATATTTAATTAGGACAAAAAGAAATGGTGCCCTATTAAAGAAGGAAGAGTTAGTGTGTGTATCTGGTAGGCGACATGCTGCAGTGGCTGAGCCGCATTACTGGAAAAATATGGTTGGTTATTTTATAGCTGGTTTGAAATAATCACCACATGCACGTGAGTGTGCAGGAAATCAGCGTTACTGAAACTTTTGTAATAGGGCTGCGCAATATATCGAAATTATCAAGATATAGCAAATGTAAATATCGCAAGGGCTTGCGATAATGGAATGATTTTAATACTTCAGAAAATTACAAAAGTCAAAGTTTTATGCGATACAGATAGCAGAGAATGCTTTCTTTTCCTCAAAAGAACATGAAACATGTATGTTGGTTATGTCATTTTCAGTTTATATATATGTGTGTATGTATGTGTATATGTGTGTGTGTGAGATTTATATATATATAAAATGTGTGTATTTTAATTTATTTATTTATTTATTTAAACACACTTGTAGAAATATCATACCACATATCGCATTATTTAACAAGTTATCACATATAGCATTTTTCTTCAATGTCATGCAGCCCTATTTTACAAATATGGCAGGATTTTTTTGTTCAGTTAAAAAAAAAAAACATTTACACATTATTGTACTAAATGACTGATAAATGAGGCCCATTAAAACCAAACATGAAATCCATGGAATGATATCATGCTCCCCAAAAATTGAGACGACTTTTAATTCTGTAGTGTATATTACTGAAATCACTGCAGTTTATATCATTTCTACAGTCACGTATAGAAATTACAGTTGTAAAAATCTAAATGTAATTTTACCAGATAGCCGAGGTGTACGACTGTAGTAAAGAGCAGCTGAAGATCGGCCCATGCAGATGGACACCTAGCATGGACATCGCCTTCTGGCTGCATGAAGATGATGAAACAATCTTACAGGTCACTACAAAATTTGATTTATGTATTATTCCTTACCTGAATAATTTTTTTTAAATCTGACTTATATTTTGCTTGATGATCTCTCCATCTAACAGTACCTGTCCACGTCTCCTTATGCTGAGCCACCTCATTTCGTCCAACACATCAAGTCCACAATCCGCTTCCTGCTGGAGCACCCGAACGCCGACGCTCTGTTTCCCGGAGGCCAGCCGCAGCGCTTCCAGCGATCGGAGCAGGGAGAGTGGGAGAGAGTCTGCCCTTAACACTGATCTCTGCCCTTAACAATCAACAACACTGTGACCAAACCAAAGGCCTTTACATGGAGCGTTTACTGGCTGTACATGTTGCTCTTTCATGCTGATCCATTTTTCTTAGGATGATCAGTTCAGGTGCTTAGCAGAGACTTGGAATATCATAAAAGGGAAACTTCTACTTGGAATGGAAAGATGGGATTATCTTTAGTTATGTATCAATTAAAATTGTAGAGACTGTACAGAAAAAAAAGCCCTTTTATGGACTCCTAAAGCTGGAGTTGGACTTGTTTTATACAGTGTACAGTGTTGTACAGTGATGAAAAAATGTATTATGTGACTTTATTTCCTGATATTTTCTGATATGTATCATACATATGGCATGATTTGTGACTGGAGTGTTGTGTATCCTTCCTGAGTTATGAAGAAAAAAAAAAGTGGTGCATATCCTTCAGAAATCCTGCAATTTTTTTTTTTTTTTTTAAATTCAAGGTATAATAAACATTCAACTTG